CCAAAGGGACCTACGGCCTTTGACCAGACTAACTGTAGCTGGGAAAAAAGGAAATCATCAGACCTTTCAAGGACTACTGGGCACTGGTTCTGAACGGACACTAATTCCAGGAGACCCAAACTGTCACGTGGCCCATCAATCAGAGAAGTGGCCTGTGGAGGGCAGGTGATCAATAGACTTTTAGCTCAGGTCCATCCCACAGTGGATTCGGTGGGCCCCTGGGCCCATGCTGCGGTTATTTCTGCAGTTCCAGAATGCATAATCGAAACAGACATACTTAGCAGCTGGCAGGATCCCCACACTGGCTCCCTGACCTGTGGAATGAGGACAATTATGGCTGGAAAGGCCCTCTGGAAACCATCAGAACTGTCTCTACCTAGAAAAACAGAAAACCAAAAGCAATACTGCATCCCTGGGGGATTGCCAAGATTAGTGCCACCATCAAGGACTTGAAAGATGTCAGAGTGGTGACCCCCACATCCCCACTCAACTCGCCTATTTGGCCTGTGAAGAAGACAGACGGATCCTGGAGAATGACAGTGGATTATTATAAGTTTCAACCAGGTGGTGAGTCCGATGCAGCTGCTGTTCCAGGTGTGGTTCCGTTGCTTGAGCACACGAACACATCCCTTGGCACCTGGTAGGCTGCTCTTGGCCTGGCACATGCCTGTTTCCCCACCCCTGTCCTAAGGCCCACCAAAGGAGCTGCTCTCAGTTGGCAAGGTCAGCAACGTGTTCACTGTCCTACCATAGGGGTAGACCAACTCTCCAGCCCTGTATCCCGATGTACTTCACGAAGATCTTGATCCCCTTTCCTCCCGTAAGATGTCACACTGGTCCATTATATTGATGACCTTATGACTGGACCTAGGGAGCAAAGAGTAGCAACTACTCTAGACTTATCGGTAAGACATTTGTGTGTCAGAGGGTAGAAAATAAATAAAATTCAGGGCCTTCTACCCTAATGATTTCCAGGGGTGCAGTGGTGTGGGGCAATGCCAAGATCTCCCTTCTAAGGTGAAAGATGAGTTATTGCATCTGACCTTTCTACTACCATAAAGGAAGCACAAGGCCTAGTGGGCCTCTTTGAATCTTGGAGGCAACATATTCCTCATCTGAGTGATTTACTCCAGCCCATTTACCAAGTGACCTGAAAAGCCGCTGCTGAATGGGGCCCAGAACTAGAGAAGGCTCTGCAACAGGTCCAGGCTGCCGGCTGAGCTGCTCTGCCACGGGGCCATAGGATCCAGCGGGCCCAATGGTGCCTGCGGTGTCGGTGCAGACAAGGGTGCTGTGCAGAGCCTTTGGCAGCCCCGGCAGGTGAACTGCAGCATAGGCCCCTAGGATTTTGGAGCAAAACACTGCCATCTTCTGCAGATAACTACACCCCTTTTGAGAAACAGCTATTGGGCCTTAGTAGAGACTGAATGCTGAACTATGGGCCCCCGAGTTATACACAGGTTGAGATGCCCATCATAAACTGGGTTGTATCTGGTGCATGAAGCCATCAAGCTGGGAGTGCTCAGCAACAGCCCATCATAAATGGAAGTGGTATACACGAGATGGCTGAGCAGCCCCGAAGGCACCAGTCAGTTACAGAAAGAAGTAGCTCAGTGTCCCTGGTCCCCACTCCTGCTACACTGCCCTCTCTCTGCCAGCCTCAGGGGAGTTCCCTATGACGGCTGACAGAGAATGAGAAGACTCGAGACAAGTTTACAGCTGGTTCTCTAGGATAATGCTGGCATCACCGGAAGTGGACAGCCGGAGCACTATATCCCCTTCCTGGGACATCCCTGAAGAACAGTAGAGAAGGGAAATCTTTCCAGTGGGCAGAGCTTTGAGCTCTGGGTGTTCACTGTGCTTGGAAGGGGAAATGACCAGCTGTGTGATTTCATACCAATTAATGAACTATGGCCAGTGGTTTGGCTGGATGGTCAGGGGATTGGAAGAAACATGATTGAAAATCTGGTGACAAGGAAGTCTCATTGACAAAGCTATCTGGGGAAGAGGTATGTGGACAGACCTCTCTGAATGAGGAAAAAAAGTAAAGATATCTGTGTTCCATTGAATTCTCTTCGAAGGGTGACCTCAGCAGAGGAGGATTTTAATAATCAAGTGGACAGGAGGATCTGCTCTGTGGATACAGCCTCTTTGCAGTCACCCCACCATCACCCAGTGGGCTCATGAGAAAGAGGTCATGGTGGCAGGAATGGAGGTTACACCTGGCTTTCTATTCACCAAGCCTGGCCTGGCTATGGCCACCGCTGAGTGCTCAATCTGGCAGCAGCAGAAACCAACACCGAGTGCCCAACATGGCATCAATTTCCAGGATGGTCAGCCAGCCACCTGGTGGCAGATTGACTATACTGGACTGCTTCCAGTACAAAGGGGCAGAATTTCACTCTAACTACAACAGACGCTTATATTCCACACAGCATTGCTTTTGACCAAGGAACTCAATTCCCAGCAAACGAAGTGCATGAATGGGACCAAGCTTCTGAAATTCACTGGCCTTACCATGTTCTGCACCTGGTGGAATTACAACCTTGTTATTGTCTTTGTGTGGAGATTAAGTATGGTGTAAGGAGATACATATGGCTGTCAAACTGACAAGGGGTGAACTTGTCACACAGCTGCGCCATAGGTTGCCCAGATTAAACACTATTTCTGGTTGTGTCTGTGAGGGTGTTTCCTCTTCAGACTAGCATTTGAATCCCCCCCTTAATGTGAGTGGCACCATCTAATCCCTTTAGGGCCTGACTGAGGTAGGGAAAAAAAAGCAGAGTAAGGGAGGATTCAGTCCTGTTTAACCTGGGACCTGGTCCTCTGCCCTCAGAACCACTGGCTCTCCTGGGTCTCCAGCCTGCAGATGGCAGATCGTGGGACCTCTCAGCCTTCATAATCGTGTGAGCTGATTCCCATGATAAATCTTTTATATGTCCTATTGTTTCTGTTTTTCTTGAAAACCCTAAAATAGTCAGTCTCTTTATTTTTAGCCATTCCAGGGAGTATACAGTGGCATCTCACTGTGGTTTCACTGCATTTCCCTAAAGACTGAGGAGGCTGGTCATCTTTTATGTGTTTATTCGCCACCCACAGATCTTCATGGGTTAACTGTTTAAACTTTTTATCCAGTTTTAAAAATGGAGATCTTTTTCCCCCTTGAGTTTTGAGTCTGTGGCTTGTCTTTCCATTCTCTTAACAGTTTCTTTTGAAGAGCAAAATTCTGATGATGTCCAATTTATCAATGCTTTCTTTTATGGATTGCTCTTTTTGTGTTGTATCTAAGAAATCTTTACCTAACCCAAGGTCACAAAGATTTTCCTTTATGTTTTCTATAGTTTTAGGTTTTACATTTAGGTCAATGATCACTTTTAGTTTATTTTTCTATATGGTAGAATGTATTTATAGAAGTCCCCCCCCCCCCCACATACGATAGCCAATGATTCCAGTATCATTTATTGAAAAGACTATCTTTTCACTACCAAACTGACAGTACATTGGCAAAAAAAAAAAAAAAAAAAAAATCAGTTGATCAGCTGCCTGTATCTGTGTGGTTCTATTTCTGGCCTCTCTATTCTATTTCATTGAATATTTGTCTATCTTTATATAAACACCACAGTGTCTTAATTATTGATTACTGTAGCTTGCAAGTCTTGAAATCAACTTTGGGCTACTTTTTCAAAGATGATTTGGCTATTTATTATTCCTAGCTCTCTGGATTTCTATGTGAATTTTAGATCCAGGTTGTCAATTTCTAGCAAAAAGAAAAAACAGTGCTGGGATTGCAATGGTGTTGAATCTATAGATCAATTTGGAGAGAAACAGCATCTGCATCCTAACTGTAGTGAGTAGTTCCCACACACGTGTTCATCACTACTTCACTGAATGAGTACTTGATCCCGGAACTCCTCTCTCTCGGCTGTCTCCTCCCCGACACTCTGCCCTCCAGCTCTAGCTCCCTCGGTTCCTGGCCTCTCAGCCGCACCTCCTCTGCCTGGCCTCCCCTCCTGCGCTGCGGCCGGACACGCTCTCCAGGCAGTACGCTGGGCGATCGGAGGGCTCACCTCGTGGACTGGCCATCTCAGGGTTCACTGTCCTTCATTGCTAGGTGGTCAGTGTCTTCAATATTGTTCTTTCAGATAGTTTGCCCATTTAAAAAATTTTTTTCAGGCAGGAAAGTAAATCCGGTTCTTGTTATTCCATCTTGGTAAGAAGTGGAAGTCTCAATTTTAAATTTTTAATGTCAAATCTGTTCTCAGTTATAAAATTCAAGGACAAAAACATAACTAGTAATTAGTATAATGTTTTATCACTGTTGTTTATTTGTTCATTAATTCATTTCATTCCAAAAATATTTACTGAATTCTGCACAGCACGGTGCTGGCTGGCATCTGACCATACAATGCCGAGGATCAAAGCCAGACGTGCCCTTGCTCTCACAGAGCTTACAATCTAGTGGGAATTTCTAATCCAGAAATTAATCAAATTATTAACAAAAATGTAACAATGCAATTGTGATAACCACTATGAAGGAAAGGAATGGAATAATACTATGATAACCTATAAGAGGGTGATTTTATGATATTTGTTTCTATTGAGACTACATATATGAGCTGAAAAGTATCACTACTGTTTATGTTAAAGTCACAAAGAAATTATAATATTTATACAGTGGGAAGAAAGTGTCCATGAAATAAACTTCAATATACCATGTATTTACTAGGTTAAGACAATATGCTAAATGCTTTGAAACACGCAAAAATTATGACACTATCCCTGTGAAACTTAAGATCTATCTGGGATCATAAAATATAAAAATAAAGGTTATATATCTACATCCTATATATTTATAAATGGAAATTAACCACTTAAACCTAATTTTGTCTCTCCCCATTAAAAAAAAATTTTTTTCCATCAGCCAAATTACAGAAATTTGATCAGTTCCTTTGAGGTGTTAATACATTTATTTTATTTTGTTAATTTTGTTATTTTCTTACCTAGATATCTCAGCTTGAGAATTCTTCTCCCCATCAACAGTGAAAGGAGACGCTCCCGTTAGCAGTTCATACATCAAAACACCCAGACTCCACCAGTCAACTGCCTACGAAACAAGAATTTCATTTGATAGAATATTAAGTACTATGTAATTCATATGAAAGAAAAATGAGCAAAATAAAGCTCTGTATTTGGAAAATACTTTCACAAAAAGATTCTGTGCATAGCTTTCTATGCAAGGAGCACTAAACTAGCACTTACAAGAAAGACATTTAGAGAACAAATATCCAGGTATTCTCAGAACAGAATTTAAACGTATTCTAATTATATTCTAAACTAGTCATTGTTTTACTTTGGTTAATTAAAAATAAAAATTTTAATTTAAAATAAAAAAATTTTAAGGAAGTAAAACCTTTAGACTTATGATAAAGGGGGAAAAGTACAAATTAGCATTTTTATTAATTATTCAGTTCCAATAAATATTATAAAATTACTTAAGTCAAAGAACAAAAATAAAAGAAATCCCACCTAAAGGCGTTATTTTTTTCATAACCACCTAAATCAATTCCTCTTGTAGAACCTATCATACAAATCTAATAGTCTTCATTTGTGGGAAGCATGATGAGATTTAAAATAATGTAAAACAAAATGTGATCTAAATTGGAAACCAATTTATAAATGTAGTTACCTGAACTGAGAACACAGCAAATTACAGATAATTTAAAGAATCTTCATATATTGAAAATTACTTTTATAATTATGCAAATCACTATTTCAATAACAGGTGAATATACAAGATTACACCAATGAGATATTAACTGGGCGCTAAAATCTTAAACTCAATGCTTCCAAATTTGAGGGCTAAAGTTTCACAGAAATGATGCCAAATTCATGAGCCTAGAGCTATTTGAAAGAAAATACATGACAATGACAGAAAACAGGATCAGGCAGACTGAACTCACAAAAGACAGAGTGCGAGCCAGGCACAGTGAGGAGCACGTGGCACACGTTCTAGCTCCTTTAATGGACTCAGAGTCGTCAAGGTGAACTCCTAGTGACTTAGCTGTATTTTGGACCTCAAGTATGCAGAAATTCCAGGAGTGATACAAGGTTTTCTTTCCTAAAAACTGGTTTCATTAGGTCTTGGAAGGTAATTTTCAAATTTTAAGTTATAAATGCCTATCAAATTCCCTAATAGTTTCAAATAATACCTTGAAGCAAACTAAAAGGGTAATCCAATTTTTTTTTTTTTTTTTTTAATACAAGCAGTTTTCCTGCCGTCTGAGTCAGGATCCTCAGAACCTTCTGCTGTTGGATTTGAAACCACACTCTTTTTTTTATTTTTTTATTTTTATTTATTTATTTATTTTTTTAATCCTCATCCGAGGATATTTTCCATTTTTTGTACAGATAGAGTGGGAGGGAGAGAGAGGAAGGGAGAGAGAGAGAAACATCGACGTGAAGGGACACATCGAGTGGCTGCCACCCGCACGACCAACCAGGGCCGGGGACAAACTGTAACCGAAGTACGTGCCCTTAGCGGGAACCGAACCCGGGTCTCTCCGGACCGCAGGCCGACGCTCTAACCGCTGAGCCAAACTGGCCAGGGCTGAAACCACACTCTTAAATTGATGCAGCAGCTCTCTATCAATTCCTAGTCATGAAAACCTGAAGAACAGGTATGAAACATACAATAAGTCATTAACAAACATTCTCCACACTTAAGATATCTGGACTGTACATGTGGGACTCTGAAAGGGGATGAGGGAGAGTGGAAGGCGAGATGCAAAACAGTCAGAATTCTTTATCTGGAGAAAGTTATCCATAAAGCAAAAGTGTTAAGAGAGAACTAAACAGGTCTGTAACCTTTAATACAGAAAGAAAAAATACGTGACCTAGATTTTATAACATAATTACTTACAAAGCCACTTCACAGCCTTCATTTTGCACATAAAAAGGAAAGTGAGGAGGAAAAAAGTTAAGCTCTTCAGAGGGCTTAGAAAACAAACTTAGACTACCTTGCATGCTTACAAAGGATTATTTTCTTTCTCTGAGGATTGTTACAATGATTATTTCTGTGGAAGAGATAATCAAGAAAGTCTCCCAATATCTCTACAGAGTTAAAAGCAGAAATTGAGAACAGAAAACAGGAAAGATTCCTTTTTCAATGATCTCTTAGAAAGCTTCTATAAACCTAAGGTGAAAGAGCCAACTATGTGTTTCGTATGTATTTCTAACGAAAACCAACAAAGCCAATAAGCACTGTCCCAAATCATTCAGCACCATCCAGACAGGAGCAGTGTACGAATTCAGTGACACCTCTGTACTGCATCGTGGCTCAGCTGTGTGCTGAAAGGGCAGGTCCCATGCAACAGAAAATGATTTTTGTTTTAAAAAGAGTTACAACTGGTACTTTGCTCAAGATATAGACTTTTAATAGAAATAACATAAAAAATTATTTGAAGACTTAGTTGCTTTTGAGTTTTCCTTTAACAAAGATGTTACTCTATAAGACAAAACTTATCCTCACCAATAAAACCTAAAAAAAAGTAAAATCTAGAATGTCCTAACCTTTCTCTTATCTTTTTCCTCCAAAACACTAGGTATCACAGTGTGTTCATGTACACAAAGCAATGGAGAGAAAAGAATAAAGATAAGACAACACCAGAAAGAGGACTCAGTTGAAGAGACTGCACCTAAGTTATTAACTAGGATTCTTTACTTTTAAGAGATTAAAAAAATTTTTTTTTCTTTATTGATGAGAAAGAACATCTATTGGCCGCCTCCTGCATGCCCTTCACTGGGGATCAGGCCCACAACCAGGGCATGTGTCCTGACCTGGAATTGAACCGGCGACCTCTGGTGCATGGGTCGACGCTCAACCACTGAACCACACCCGCCGGACTAGGATTCTTATACATTTTACAGACATATATAAAGAAGTGTCAAAAATAGAACATACCTTGTCATGTCCCGAATCTCCCCCTCTGACAATATCTGGTGCCATGTATTCAATAGTGCCACAAAAGGAATATGCTCTTTCAGCCTTAAACAAACAAACAAAAACGGATTTGATTTCAAGCTGGTATGACAAGCGCAAAAAGACAAAGTTCATACGACATGTCCATGGTTGAGATTAATCACTATACACAGCAAAGCAACATACGGCAGAATCTACTTGACAGACCCTCCTCCCACCAGCGTAGACCATCATTTCTGTAGTATGAGTCCTGGGTAAACCAAGACTTCCCGTGCCCTCCGCCTACCATCATTCCCCATGCATCCACCCATCTACTCATGAATCTTTTCATTCATGCTCCTTCTTTTCTGAATGTGTGTAGATTTCAATTACTAGTTACTTTAACTATTTTCTGTAAGAATGCAAACAGTCCTGGTAGGATAACATGAACTGTCTAATAGTTTACTATGGATAATTTTATTTCCAGACAGGCAAGATTGGGAAAACACTAGAAAACTTGGAGGGGAAAGAAGGACAAATGCTAAGAAGGGGAAGAGGGAATCCAAAGATTAAAAAAGAGGAAAAAGGTTTTCCTACCTTACCATCTTCTCTGGGTTTGGTACTGCTAATAGAATGTTTAGTAATGATGGACAAACTGGTTTTTAAAAAAGATTTTCTCTTACAGATAGCTGTTTCTCTGTCACTATTTCTTCAAATATACCAAAGAACTTATATGCATACATGTGTAACCAATAAACAAAGACAACAATGCTTGGGGGGGAGGTGGGGAGGATAGGGAGGAGGGTGTCTGTGGGGGAAAAAGGAGAAACATCTGTAACAAAACAAAACAAAACAAAAAAAAGATAGCTGTTTCTCCTTTGTAGAACTTTAAAAGGGGCTACTTTTATATATCGGCCTAAAATTAATTTAGAAAACTAAAGCAATTTTTTAAATGACCAACTGTGTCTTATGACTCATCCCAATATAACAAAGATCTAAACTGTAATGCAGGTATAGTAACTGGGATAAAGAAGTCTTCTTTAATAATATACATTCGTATGGCTATATCGGAAACTGTAAAAGACACTTTGGTGCCACTAAAATACTTTTAAAAAATTATTTTAGAAGAAGCTTTTTGATTTATACTTTACTCTTCTTACACTAGTAAGGGTTAAGAAAAATGAGCATTTCTCTTATTTACCAATTTTTAATGTAAAGAACTCTATTCTAGCAATGTTGTAGAAGTGAAAGAAGTCCCCTACTCTATTGGCTGAAAGTTAAGCCCAGAGACAATGAATGTAATAAATTTATTTAAACACTGTGATAATAAATGTATTAAAACGACTTAATTGTAACATATATATACATATATGAATAAACACAAAATATGGTCTAAAATTCATTTATTTCTTTTTATGTGTTATGCACCCTATAAGATTACTACCCACCTAGAAACTAAAATAAATAAATCAATTATGTATAGATATGCAAAACATCTTTTTGTTAGCTGGCAGAATGTTACTGAATAGCTAATATAAATCATATATCAAATGTCATTATCTCTCTGCTCCATCATTTAATACCAAAAGTTAATTTTGTATCAAACTACTGGAAAGATTAAAGTTAAATAAAATTTCATATAAATTTGTATATAAAAAGTAATAAATAATTTTTCACATTTTGTTAGACATGCTTAGACAAAAAAGTGTTATGTATTAGAAAGCATTAATCTGTTCACTGAATTACTAAAAAAGAAATGCTACAAAATAACTTTTAAAAAACCCACAATTTCGCCCTGGCCGGTTTGGCTCAGCGGTTAGAGCATCGGCCTGTGGTCTGGAGAGACCCGGGTTCGGTTCCCACTAAGGGCATGTACCTCGGTTGCAGTTTGTCCCCGGCCCTGGTTGGTCGTGCGGGTGGCAGCCACTCGATGTGTCCCTTTCACGTCGATGTTTCTCTCTCTCTCTTCCTCTCTCTCCCTCCCACTCTATCTGTACAAAAAATGGAAAAATGTCCTCAGGTGAGGATTAAAAAAAACAAAAAACAAAAAACCCCACAATTTCATATAACTAAGGTGTGTTTTTAGTTAACATACTATTTATTATGCAATAACCCTTTTTTTGGATATTAGGCAAGCATCACTATAAACCTGACACAGAAAAATTACTAAGTCATAGTATTTATCATTTCATCTTATCTTAACAGACACCTTCAAAACATTATAGGCTAAATTGAGTTTAAGTAAACAGAAGAAAAAAATTCTACAAACTGGTTTATGGGTAAAAAGATAATGGGTTTTGCTGTGGCCAGGTAGCTCAGTTGGTTAGAGCACTGTCCCGATACGCCAAGGTTGCAGGTTCAGTCCTTGGTCAGGGCACATACAAGAATCAATGAATGAATGCATAAATAAGTAGAACAACAAATCAGTGTTTCTCTCTCCCTTTCCCTTCCCCTCTCTCTCTCAAAAAAAAAAAAAAAAAAAAAATTAAGGATTTCCTTTTATTGACTTTCTAGATTTGTTTTTAAGAAAACTAGTCTTTCTAAGCAAATACACATTTTCATTTATAGGCAATTCCATGTCACAAACCATTTTGAAATTTTGTGTATTTTCTTTTAAGCATGAGATGATTAAATTTTGCAAATTGAAAGTCATGAAAATCTGCATTCTCTTCTTTAAAACACTAGATATTCATAACTTTAGGGTAAAAGGGGCGTGAAACACACAGACCTTATTGATTACTGCCAGAAAGACTTCCCGTGTCTGTCTCCCTGACAACGAGAGCTGTGCAGCTCAGTCCTTGACTGTCTCCACATCCAGGGAGCTGAGAACCACATTAAGTGCTGGGACGCATTTCCTCCACCTTCAAGCTCTTATAATTCCCTTTAGCTTTCCTGTTTTTTTGTTTGTTTTGTGGGGGGAGTAGGTAGTGCCTACATTAATAAATAATTATGTATTAATTTTTTATTATGTACATAATAAATTTTTAATTATGTACATAATTATTTGATAGAAATTCTGGGAGACAGAAAAATTAAAGCTTAAGTATTGGGAAGTTCTACTCACTGAGGAATAATAGTAAATAAATACAAAGCATTTAAGTCTCATTGTTCTTAAACATTGCCATCCTAGTCCCTTGCAGTTCTGCATCTGCTTCCTCTGCCTCTGCCTCAATGGAGAGCTCCTCCCTCTGGGTCCCAACTTTTAGGACAATCCCAGTAATTCTACCAAGACAACATACTGAACAGGTATGACAGGCAAAGGTTTCTGGTGGGAGGCAGGAGATAATGCAGAGTCATATTTTATGAACTATGATATAAAAAGGCTAGAATAACATAGCTAAATTCTATTGTGATTGCTGTATATTGTTTGATGTGTGTGTGTGTATGTGTGTGTGTGTATTTAATCCTCACCCAAGGATAATTTTTTCTTTGATTTTCAGAGAAAGTAGAATAGAGGGAAGGAGAGAGGGAAGAGAGAGAGAGAAAGAGACAAAAAGAGAAAGAGAAACATCGATGTGAGAAAGGCATACCAATTGGTTGTCTCTAACCTGCGCCCCGACCAGGGCAGGGGATTGAATCTGCAACCCAGGTATGTGCCCTTGACCGGAAATCAAACCCAAGACCCTTTGGTGCACAGGCCGATGCTCTGATCACTGGACCACACCAGCCAGGGCTAAATATCTTTACAGTAGTATTTTTCTCAGGGAAACAGGCAATCCACCTACTTAGAATTTTAATCCATATTGTTTTATAAGCAACATTTCTTACTAAAGCTACCACCAAGTTAAAATATTGTGAATGAGAATTTACTTGAATGTTGTATGTGTACCATCCTTGCAGATAATACAAAATACTGTTATGCTTAAGTGATCAGCTGATCAAAGAGGCTTAACTGTTCCTTAGACAGAAGAATCCGGTAACATTGGGTAAAAAAAACTGGTTTCCCTCTAAATAAGAACCCAAATAGGAGCTCAACTTGCCAAACTCTCAAGTATTTCCCAATAAATTATTCCTAGTTTTTATTTGCCAATGTTTTATCTTGCTCTTATCTAATTATTGATAAACTTGTGAGATAAATGTACATTACCAATGAAAAGAAGTTTTTTTCTACATTCTGTATTTTTTCTCCACTCTAATTTTGAAAAAAAATCTCACAACTATCTAGAAACGTTTGCTTTTAAGTAAATGTTGCATGGCTAATCATGCAAGACTTTGCTCACAAAAAAAAAGGTAACCCCTGGGTGCCAGCCATGAAGAGGGTGCTGACAACCAGCAAGGTGGTCACATGACCTATGCTGTGCTGCACAAAGGAAGGAAAGGGAATTTGCTACAGGTCTCAGCAATCTAAAAGCTTCACTTTCAACACTCTTTTTTTAGTTCTCATCCGAGGATATTTTTCTATTGATTTTTAGATAGAGTGGAGGAGAGGGAGAGAGAGAGAAGGGAGAGAAATGGGGAGAGAGAGAAACATCAATGAGAGAAAGACACATCACATCAATTGGTTGCCTCCCAACCAGGGCCAGGGATCGAACCTGCAACCCAGGTATGTGCCCTTGACTGGGAATCAAATCCTTGACTCTTTAGTCCACGCGCTGACGCTCTAACCACCGAGTCAAACTGGCCAGGTGTGACTTTTGATACTCTTAGGAACACAAAAGATGAGGCTCTCAGTTCAAATGGGGTGGACTAGAATGAATACTCTCTGTAAACCCTGGAACCTAAGAAAGCTGAACCTTTAGTAAATGTGAAGCCTAGAAAATTAAAATTCACCACTAGCACAAGTTCTTTCATTTTGGGCCCTAGCTTAAAACACAAACAAATAAACGTTCCTCTTGTGAAAGCAAACTGCTAGGCTTGTATCTCGTGCAGATTTGGGGAATGAATTTTCTCTCCCCCACAATAAGGAAAAAGTGAGAAAACCTAGTCCAGTGTGGTGATACTCTGGAACACAAAACAGAACCAGAGTAATTCTCACAACGTAGCTGGTCTAGATTAACACTAATAAAGCCTTGGAGAAACAAAATTACTAAACAAGTAAACTAGGCTCTATAAATACAACCAAAGGGAACAGTAGAACAATAATCTAT